TTACCCGAAGGAGAAGCCCCAGAAGGGGTGTCAGATATTCACAGGTTATGAGCGCCCAAGCTTCATCGCCGTCTCCGCCGACGTTAGAGGGTGAAGAGGCAGGGCCAAGGTATGGCGAAGGACATGAACCTCGAGGGCAGTCTGCCGATCTGCAGAGAGACCGTGGAACTGGAAGCCAACAGCTGATGAACGGCATAGGTCCCTCTAGGCCGGATGCTGCTCGTGAAGAGCCGCAAAATGCGGGTCCACGGGCAGCAGAGCCGCCGGGAGAGGATCGAAGCCAGAGTCAAGTTGGAGTCTTGGTTGCGGAAGAGCGCAGAGGAGACGTTGATTCGAATCAGGATGCGACGGATCCCAGGGCAGCGCTAAGCCCTTCGAGCAGTGCTGGATTTGAGTCTGTGCCCACCAGGCCTACATCACCAACGAGACCCCAGAGGGGGCAACCGCGCGAGGCCGAAAGGACAGTGGCTATGGAGTACTCTTTCCAGAGGGCCAGCCGGTGGTGCGCTGGGTTGCGAGGCTGACGGAATTCCTACGTTCGTCCACGAGGGGGAATGGACTTCAGAGAAGGGTGTTAGAAGGTTTGGGGTTTGGTGCAACAACAACCCAACCGTCCTCAGGATTCCAGCATAGCCCACAACAACACTACCAGCAGCAACTGCGGCAGCAGCATGCACCTCCAGGGCTAGCCTTACAACAACAAGCGGCAGCGCAGCAGGCATCGATGACGATTGCAAGACCGAGAGATTTGCAGAACTATGTGGTGACCTACGATGCAATGCCTTCTCCGCCGGTGAGGCTTCCGTCGCCTACCCCGCCGTCGAGGCCAGCTTCACCAACACCACCTCCACCACCACCCGCGAGATCTGAAGGCTCCCCGGTGTCATGGGGGGATCGTTCACCTCCGCCTATTCCTCCAGCGTGGAGTCCAAGGTTGTTTACAGCTGAGCAGGCCTCTCGTCTCGGCCGTCATCCATGGGAGGCTCCCTTGCGGTACGCGAGGCCGCCACCGCCGAGTTCTACATCGTCGGAAGAGGTGCAAGCGGAAGTTCAGAGACAGCTTCGGAGTTTTGTTGAGAGGCACGATGGGGAGGCAAGAAGGCTAAGAGAAGAAGTTGAGAGACTTCAAGCGGAGAGGGATCGCCTGGCAGACGAGCTTCAACTACCTAAAGGCGATCGGGCTGCAGATGAGCTTAATCCTGTACCAAGGGGTGATCATGCAGAGGGTCATCGTGTACCAAGGGGTGATCATGCAGAGGGTCATCGTGTACCAGCAGGTGATCATGCAGAGGGTCGTCGTGTACCAACAGGTGATCATGCAGAGGGTCATCGTGTACCAGCAGGTGATCATGCAGAGGGTCGTCGTGTACCAACAGGTGATCATGCAGAGGGTCGCCGTGTACCAGCAGGTGATCATGCAGAGGGTCACCGTGTACCAACAGGTGATCATGCAGAGGGTCGCCGTGTACCAGCAGGTGATCATGCAGAGGGTCGCCGTGTACCATCAGGTGATCATGCAGAGGGTCGCCGTGTACCAGCAGGTGATCATGCAGAGGGTCGTCGTGTACCAGCAGGTGATCACGCAGAGGGTCGTCGTGTACCAGCAGGTGATCGTGCAGAGGGCCGTCGTGTACCAGCAGGTGATCATGCAGAGGGTCGTCGTGTACCAGCAGGTGATCATGCAGAGGGTCGCACTTCCGTCAGGAGCACGTCAGCCAGTAGAAGGGTCCCTGAGTACTTCGACCTTCAGGAGGGTGACCGTGCTCTTCGAGATCAGCACCGTGCTCGTGAAGACGAGAAGGCCCAGGGGACAGGAGTACCTCAGCGGGATGAGCCACAGGATGATACAGGTCCCACTGCAACAGCACCTACAGCGATGGAGTTGATTGGGGTTATTGCTACGGGGATGCGACAACTACAGGAGGCTCAATTACGACAATTGGAGAAGAAGCCTGACTCACCGGAGGTGGTGAAACCTGGAATTTCCTCGTTGCCCACGTTGGCGCCCCCTGGACAGGACACTAGCCCTGTCGATATCCAGGACTGGTTGGAGGAAGTGGGCAGTGTCATGACGGACCTCAGCGATTCAAGTTGGGATTGGTGGCTACAGACTAAGGAGGTTGCAGAAGAGCACTACAGAAGGTGGATCAGGTCTACGCCGATGGAAAAGATCTCCTTGTCGATCCCCAAGACCCCCGCCTTGGAGCAAGGTCGCTACGGCGGGGTGAACGCCGGAGCTGCTGGGATGATCCTGGCGTCGCTACCTCAGGAGGTGAAGAGCGAGATGATCACCAAGAAGGTTACGGGCAGTACACCGAGTTTGATTTTCAAGCTCCTCACTTCGTACAGACCAGGAGGGGAGAAGGAGAAAACGTTGCTCCTCCAGCAGCTCACCAACCCGGAGACGGCTACTAGCGCGGAGGAGGCAGTGCAAGGACTGAGACGGTGGGGGCGATGGCATGCGCAGGCGAAGGACCTGACTGTCACCGTTCCAGATCCGGTTCTGATGATAAAAGGCTTGGCGGCAATAGTGGTTGGTGTGTTGGGCAAACATCAAGATGTTTGGCTACGCACCTCTATGGTGCGCCAAAAGCTTCAACTGGATAGCAACCCCACGGAGGAGTCGACCCTGGACTACCACAAGCATCTACAAGCTGAGATGGAGCTGCTGTCAACCGCGGCTAACCCGGCCAAGGGAGGACCGAAGATCAGGAGCGCGGCCACAACAGCAGATACCACGGCTACATCAACCGCGTCTTCGTCTTCCACTCCGGCGGCGAAACCCAAGGCGCAGCCAGGCAAGGAGAAACCCTGCAGATGGTTCGCGAAAACGGACAGTGGTTGTCGTCGAGGTGTTGATTGTCAATTTGCTCACGACTGGGGAACTACCTCAAAGTCGGGAAGGTGCCTGGTATGCTCAAGCACGGCGCATGTGAAAAAGGACTGCCCTGTGAAGGAGAAGGGAGCTAGCTCAAGGCCGCAGAAGCCGAAGAATGAGGGCCAGTCATCAACTAGTGCCCCAACCGCTCCCGCAGCAAGGGCTTTGACTTCTACTCCAGAGTCGCCAGCGTCTACACCTTCCCAAGCTCAACCTGCAGGAGAGCCGTCACCCGCGGCATCGTCGTCCCCTTCCTCGCGAGCTCGTGTGCAACCTGAAGAAGAAAAACCAGACGACTTAAAGCAGGTGCTGGCGGACGCTTCAAAGATGCTGAAAACGATGATGGCAACTTCCTCTTCGGGAACATCTGCGGCTACCTCGGGGGCGCCTACTTACGAGTCCCTCCAGAAGCAGTTAGATGAGTTAAGAATGAAGTTGCTAAAGGTGCAACCGGAGCTTCGGCAAGGGCGGATTTCAAGTGGGGATGCGACTCCTTCCTTGTCCTCCACTGGGGTGCCTACGTATGATGAGGGCTTGCAGCAGCTCGAGATGATGTTCAAGGCGATGAAAGTGGACGCGAGTGGCTCCAAGGAGCCGCAAGGCACCCTGTTGGATTCCGGTTCAACACATGTGTTGCGACCAGCCAAGAACGAGGAGGAGAAACGGGAAAGCCGGAGCGTGTACGTGACTTTGGCGGGTGATGAGCAGCGCCTTCTAAGCCAGGCGCCCAGCGGGAGCATCGAGGTGGACGCGATCAACCATTCCCTTCGGCAAGGTCATAGAGTGCTTGGGGTGTACGCTGAAGTGGTCTCGGGGCGGTTTCTTCCTACATCACCCCAAACATGGAAGGATAAAAACCCGAGTGAAGTCGGGCTGCCCAGAAATCACGGATGCAGGACAGGCGGCTGCAATCATTGCCGAGCTGGAGATGAAGAGTTGCTCAGCTCCGTGAGAAGACGGAGGAGCTTCAGAACCAGCTGTGTGCTCTTCGGATGTTGGAGCATAAGAAGGCTGACTGGAGAGCCGGCCTGGCTTCCTATGTCAGGAATGGCGAAGCTGCAGCTGGTCTTCAAGCAATTTATTCCTCGCCTGTGTTTGCAGGTGTCCCCAACCATACACGAGTTGCGATGGCGCCACAGCTAGATGTTTCCTCCAAGGCGGGCTGGGATTATCTGAAGTTGCTCCCTTTGCCGCGGCGAATGAGGAAACGACTGTTTAAGTCGAGTTGCTGGGTGCTGAACATGTTTGCTGGTGACAAGCGGGGCGATTCGGTGCAAGCGCTGTCAGGCTCTACCTCTTCGGCTTTTCCTGGTGAAGCCGTGGTGGTTAACGTGGATGCAATCTTGTCGGCTGGGTGGAACGTGCAGGGCGATATGTACAAGGCGTTGTTGTGGGGCGCTATGAACTCAAGGGTGAAGGCAGTGATTGCCTCGCCTCCAATAGGAGGCCTGAGTCCTCAGGGGGAGCTGATTTCAAGGGAGCTCTACGAGGCGCGGAGAGACAAGGATGTGGAGATGATTGCCAAGACCTTTTTCTTGTTCTTGGCCAGCTATGCAGCCTCTGGGGGCGACGAGCCCGCCTTGGTGTATGGTGCTCCTTCAGTCAATGAGGAGATGTGGGCTTTGGATATGGTTCAAGGTTTTCAACAAGCGGTTGCGGAGATTGGTGTGGTGAGCAGTGAGTTTGACCAAGGTGCCCTCGGGCATCCGGAGAAGGCCCCTATGAAACTCCTGCACAACCTAAGGTTGGACTTCCTCGACAACGAGAAGGACGTTCGAGAAGATCACCTTCGGCCACCAAAGGACCCGGACTTTCCACCAAAGAGGTGGTGCCCTGGGCTACGACGAGTTGTGTATGATGGTCTGCGGGCACGAGGTTTGGGAGATGGAGCTGAAGGCCGCCAACAAGATGAAGGGTGTGAACTACGCAAGCTCACCAAGGAACAGGGATGGCGTCTGCACATCCTACGTGATCATGTCCCGTTTCGACGGGACTGCGAACAATGTGTGATGATGTTGGGCACCGGGCGTCCCCATCGGAGAGTTCGCCAAAAGAGTGCTTATGTGTTGAGCGTGGACGTCGGAGGACCGTTACGGGTGGCCAGCAAAGATGCTCATGGTTCTGGGTACAAGTACTTCTTGGCGGCAGCGTACACGAAACCGAAGTTTGAAGATCAAGAGCCCCCGGTGGATCATCAGCCGGAGGACTTAGCAGAGGTGGACTATGACTTCGCCAACTTGGACTTAGATCCCCTTCCAGAACAACATGGCGAAGAAGGAGGTGACGATTCTGAAAATCTGGAAGAAGCCCCGTTGGCTGGAATCTTCGATGAAGGGGAAGTGTACGAGTTTCCCGAGTTGGAGAAAGATGAAGACATTGCTATGAGAAAGGTCGGCGACACCCGTGGCCTTTGGGACGACGACGACTTTGCGGCCATAGAGCAAGAAAAACATGCACAGGACACCCAGGATGAGGAGGGGAACCACGCCGTCCCTATGGATTTCCTGTACTACTTCAAGCCCCTAAAGGGTAAGAGTGGGAAGCATGTTTTGAAGGCGATACAAGAAGTGGTGTTACAGTTGCGAATGGAGAACTTGCCGGTGGCGAGAATCCACGCGGACAGGGCTCACGAGATGAGGTCAGAGGCTCTGCGACAGTGGACACTCGACAACAATATCCTTTTGACGAGAACCGAAGGGCAAGCGCCCCAGTCCAACGGGACAGCGGAGCGAGCTGTCCGTTTCCTGAAGGGCCGAGCGAGGTCCCTCTTGAGGTCAGCGGATCTTGGTGTTCAACACTGGGCAACGGCTATGGCGACGGCGGCCCATCGGCAACGAGAAGAGAGGTTGAGGCCCGAGTTCCCCAATATCCCGGCTGCCTACGGAGCTAAGGTCGCGATCAAGAAGAAGTATTACGGTCAGGGAGGAAAACTTGATCTACTACCAAGGTGGGTTAAGGGCCTCTACATGGGACCGGTCTGGGACGTGAATCAGGGCTCAGCAATTCTTGAAGAGGAGACAAACAGGTTTACGGTCTCAACGCACCTGAGGCCCAGGTTGGTTGATCCTGGCACGATTGGTCAGGAACCTGAGATGGTTGTCGAGCCCCCTCCTCGCAGAAGGCTTCGTGGAAAAACGGCGGTGGATGAGGACGGCATCAAGATCAAGGCCATTGACGCGGAAACCCTTAAGGTACACCGAGGTGTTTTACAGAAAGAAATCATCAAGATGTTGGACAAAGATGGTGTTCTGGGTGGTGTCAAGCGTCCACAGCTACTTGCCCAAGGAGAGCCTCAACCTCAGGAGGGGTATACAACCTTAGGGGCATTCCAACATGGAGGAGTGCTGGGAGTCACCAAGGCTACAAGGGAGAATCCGGCCCTCGCGCAAAAGGTTGCTCAGTTGGTTTCCCTGGTGTTCTCGGAGGAGGTGTTCACTTCAGTAACAGTGGTGCAGAATGCTCGGATGCCCGTCCACAAGGACAGTTATAACGATCGGAGGACCTACAACTTGGTGATCCCGCTCAAGGTGACCTCGGATGCTGGGATATGGCAAGAACTTCGCCCTGGAGACCCTTTCCAAGGGAACTACATGCCGATGGAAGTGAGGGGCAAGGAGGTTCCCGGTCAGTTTCATTCGCTTAAGACCGAGGTGAAGGTTAAACCGGATCGACTTCATTGCGCAGTGCAACCTATCTGATGAGACGAGCAGAAGTACTTGAGAACAACGAAGCATCTCTCTACCAATGGATGGTGAATGAAGATGATCTGGTGCATAACTTTGGCCAGCGAGATTCCTTGGTGGAGATTGATGAGGATGTGGTTCGTTGTGCTAAGGCCGCCGCAGACAACTTGTACACCCATGGCATCGAGGAACTACTGGAGGGTTTATCAGAGGAGCTTCGGGTTGTGCATACAGTCCACCCAAAGGAGGTTGACCAGAACCTTCCAAGGTGGATCGACGCCCTCAAGGCCGAGATGAAGGTGCTGGAGGACATTGGAGCTATCAAGCGGTTGGTTGGCCAAGAAGCGAAAAAATTCTTGGCCCTTCCTGGCGTGCAGGTCGTCCCGGGCAAGGCGGTCTATACTGTCAAGCCGCCCTCCAAGGAGGGCACAAAGTACCGCCGCAAGGCCCGCATCGTTGGATGCGGGAACTTTCAGCCAAGAGACGCATCAGAGGAAAACTACTCGGGCGGCGCGGCCGCCGAGGCCGTGCGTTTGGGTGTCACCCAAGCAGCGAGGAGGCGATGGGCGATATGCACTGGAGATGTGGTGAGCGCCTTCCTTCGAGCACCAGTACCTGAAGGCACTCTATTGGCCCTACGACCCCCTGCTGTTTTGATACGGGCAGGACTGGCTGACCCAAGCGAGGTGTGGTCCGTACACATGGCGTTGTACGGTTTCAGGACCAGTCCCCGGTGGTGGGGAACCCATCGCAACAGGATTATGAGGGAGGCCACTACGTCTTCAGGTTTGACCTTCTTGCAGGGCACAGCGGATCCCGAAGTTTGGCGTGTCCAGGACGATTTAAAGCAGGTGGTGGGCCTTATTATCGTCTATGTGGACGACTTCTTTATAGCGGGACCGAAGCATGTTTGCGAGGAGGTATTTGGATGGCTTTCCTCTACCTGGGAGACAACACCGTGTACTTTTGCGTCATCTTCGTCTTCGGTGAGGTTTTTGGGAATGGAAATCCGAGAAGATGTCAGCGACTCCAACGAGTTTGAAGGGTACACCTTAGATCAGGAGGGGTACCTTCAAGAGGTTCTACGACATCGAGGAATCCGTGCCGAGGAGAAATCGTTGTGGCCGGCTTCAAAGGAGTGGATGAGTTTGGATTCGGGAACCTTTCCACCGCAGCACACCGAGGAGGAGCTGAAGTTGGCTCAGTCTTTGACAGGGGAACTCGCGTGGTTGGCACAGCGGTGCAGGCCGGATCTGGCCTACGTGGTCAGTATAATGGCCAGTCTGACAACGAAGGATCCAGCCCGTGTGGGCCTTATAGGTCGCAAGGCTTTGGCTTACCTGAACCACACCCGTGACTGGAAGCTGAAGTTCAGGCATGGTGGCCCGGACACCCTGGCGACCTACACGGACAGCTCCTACGCTCCAGATGGGGACCGAAGCCATGGTGGGGCAGTTACCTTTTGGGGAACCTGCCCTGTTTCGTGGAAAAGCTCGAGGCAACCGTTGGTTACTACAAGTTCGGCAGAGACCGAATTGGTGGCCGCCCATCATGGCTGCCAACAGATGGAGTCAGTGGACGCGCTCCTGGAGGACATGGGTGAAAAACCGGCCCAGAGAGTGATCTACGTCGACAATGCCGCGGCGATAACTCTGGCTACCTCGGAGGGGGGAAGCTGGAAAACAAGGCATTTAAAGGTCCGCCACAAGGCGTTGCGCCAACGCGTCGAAACTGGATGGGTCGATGTCATCTACTGTCCAGGCGATCAACAGCTGGCCGATGGACTTACAAAGATTTTATCGTCCCAGCGAATGACCGAGTTGATGGTGTTTTGGGGATTATTG